AGCTGGGCAGGAGAGGGCTGGGGACAGGCAAAGAGCCACAGAAGACCATGTGAGTGCATCATCTTTACTGAATTCAGAGGATTTGACCGATAGCAATAAAAGACAATTTGGGGACTATTAGGGAAATTTGGATTTGCACTAACCGTTAAAAAATCATCAGGGAATGATTGTTCATTTTGTCAGGTGAGCTAAAGGTATTTTGCAGTTACGTAGAATGTATTGTTTTTTCTTGTGAGTTTGTTTACTGACTTTGTTTATAGTGACACTGGAAGAGACAGGAACTTGCAATGTCGACTGAGGGAAGGAACCAGAGATGGGGAAGGATCAAGAACCTGGAGGAGGAAGAGAATGAATGGAGGAAGGCCCCTGACCAGATGGGACTCTTCTGGGGAGGAAGGTGGACACGGGAAGTTGAGGGAACCCCACCTATTTTCTCAGGGACAGAAGAAGGCAAAGCTGCCTCCGACACCGAGGAAGCCAATATGGGAGGGAATTTGAGGAGAAAAAAGGAAGGTTTGTAGAGACCATGGAGAAGGTAAGTGAGGGCAGTGGCCAAAAATATGGACTAAGGAGCCACCCTGAAAGCCCAAATAAAATTGTGCAGCATCTATCTGCAGAGTCCCCAACCCACACATCTTGTGGTTTTGGGAGGCACTTCCCTGAACCAGGCCATTCAGGTGGGGAGGGCAGTGTGGCCAAGGGACAGGGAGGCGAGGGCAGGTGGAGGGCAATGGCTTGCACCGGGTCCAGGAGGGAGTCAAAGAAAGGGAGCACGCGTGGCAGCTGAACCTGGGAGAGAAAGGAGGGCATCCTGGAGGTGAGGTCTGGAGATGGCCGGTGGGAGGGCAAGACAGAAGGACAGGACACAGACCAGTCCCAGCGGGAAATCTGTTTTCCCGGAGGGAGAGGGCTCTGGGCTTCTGCATCCCTCCAGCGCCAGGAAGGAAGCCGCCCCTCCCTGCAGCGCCTCTGAGAGCCTGACCTAAGGCGGTGGTTCAGCGAAAACACAAGCACCTCTGTGCCATCGACCTTGGGCTGCTTAGAGCTGAAAGTGCGGTTTTATTTTTATTTTTATTTATTTGAGAAAGAGAGAGTGATAGAGAGAAAGCACAAGCAGGGGGAGGGGCAGAGGCAGAGGGAGAAGCAGACTCCCCACTGAGCAGGGAGTCCGACTAGGGGCTGTAGGGACTCAATCCCAGGACCCCAGGATCATGAACTGACCCAAAGGCAGACGCTTAACCGACTAAGCCACCCAGGCGCTCCTGAAAGTGTAGTTTTAAAAAATTCAGGGAAAATGTACAAAACCTAAAGTTAACCCTCTTAAAGTGCACAATTCAGTGGCGTTTAATACGTTCACATTTTGCAGTGAAAGCGTTTCATCATCCTCAAAGGAACCCCAGTACCCACTAAGCAGTCACCCCCTCTCCCCACTTTCCCAGCCCTGGGCAACCACTACGCTGCTTCCTGCACCTGGGGATTTACAGAGACTGGACAGCTCATCTCTAAATGGAATCACATGCTACGTGATCGTTTGGGTTGTTTCCATCTTTTGGCTGTGGCAGATATGTTTCCGTGAACATTTGTGTCCAAGTATTTGTTTGAGTACCTGTTTTCAGTTCTTTGCGGGTATATCCCTAGGAAGAATTGCTGAGTCATCTGGTAATTCTATCTGTTTAACTTTGAGGAACTGCTTAACTGTTTTCCACACTACCTACACCATGGTACTTTTCACTAGCAGTGTATGAGGGTTTCAATTTCTACACGTTCTTGCCAACACTTGTCATTTATAGTTTTTTGTTTTTTTTATTTTATGGTCATCCTAGTGGCTGTGAGGTGGTATCTCACTGCAATTCAGGCTTGTATTTCCCTAATGATTAATGATGTTGAGCATCTTTTCTTTTTTTTTTTTTTAAAGGTTTTATTTATTTACTTGACAGAGACACAGCGAGAGAAGGAACACAAGCAGGGGGAGTGGGAGAGGGAGAAGCAGGCCTCCTGCTGAGCAGGGAGCCCGATGCGGGGCTCAATCCCAGAACCCTGGGATCATGACCCGAGCCAAAGGCAGATGTTTAACGACTGAGCCACCCAGGCGCCCCTGTTGAGCATCTTTTCATACGCATCTTGGCCATCTGTGGATCTCCTTTGGAGAAATGTCTATTCAAATCCTGAACCATTTTTTAATTGGGTTGCCTTTCTGTTGTTGAGTTGTAAGAATTTCTCTTACATTCTGCTTGTTGGACCCTTATCAGATATATGATTTGTAAATATCTTCTCCTGTTCTGTGGTTGCCTTTCACTTTTCTCTATAGTGTCATTGGATGCGCAAAAGTTTTTAATTTGATGAAGTCCGCTTGTCTATTTTTTCTTCTGTTGTTTCTGCTTTTGATGTTGTACCTAAGAATCCATTGCCAGATCCTAGATCATGAACACATAATCCTACAGTTTCTTTTAAGAGTTCTATAGTTTCAGCTCTTACATTTAGGTCTTTGTCTATTTTGAGTTAATTTTTGTATACGTTGTGATGCAGGGACAAAAGTGCAAACTGTAGTCCACGAATCTTCTTAAGAGTTTACTATTTGTATACATTTGGCTAATACACTGGATTGGTCACACAGGGGACCTTGGCATTTTCAGATTTAATATTTTCAGTTTATCATCAGTGAGTGATCTCAAAAGGTCAGGACACATGCTCACTTCACTGTCTCTGCCTGAGACACACATTTGGACCCATCAGGCAATAAGGCAGGTACACAAATGCAAATACCCAAACAAGTAAATTGAGCTTAGCTGGCCCTGGCTCCTCATCTTCTCCAGATTTTCCTGGCCACTCATCATCCTCCAAAACTCCAATATTCTCATTAAGGGCTTGAAAGCATCGCTTAAATTTTAAAAAATCACACTTTACTGCATGCAATGTGCAGGAGTGGTATTAGCAAATTTGGATTTTGTGACAAGTCTCAACACAATGTCATCCTTGTGGTGATCAAGTACAAGCTGGATGAACATCTCTTAGGGATGAAGAAAGGAAGAAAGAAAGGAAGGGAGGGAACCTGCACAGGTTTAAGGCTGCAGTGTGTCAGGGGTCCCCAAATCTGCTGCTAGCATCACATGGGAAGCTTCCTTTTCTTTCTCTTTCCCCCTCTTTCCATGTCTTCCTGTTAATTTCCTAGCAGCAAAACCCTTTATCCAAATGAAAGGTTGCAAACTCCCAAACAGGATCCTTCTAGTCCTCCTCCCAGGTCCTCCTTTGCCCCCACGAGGCCTCGAAGCCCCATGAAAACCAGTTGAAACTCCCAGGCTAGACTCTCCAGGACCACATCAAGTGCTAGCAGGCTGGCGGTTCTAAGATGGTGAGGAGCAAAAGAACAGCATTCTCTCGGAGGCTTGTGGAGGTCCCAGGCTTTGAGAGCTGGAAAGAGCATCTGGGTGAGGGGTACCACCAGCAAAAGCTGCCTCCGAAGCTGGACTTTGAATCTATTGCAATTATGTGACTTCACTTACTCAGAATCGCCTGTCCTTATAGAACCTTCATGGTGTGCAGCACAGGAATCATGAGCTGACTCACTCCGTTGCTGAGGCAGTGAGTCGCTGTGATGAGGAATCTAGGAATTTGCAAGGCTGCAGCGAACAAAACACCTATCCTGGGCCAGGTCTGGCTGTGGGGAAAGGCAGTTCCGGCAGCCACCTGCTTTTGCATTCCCCATGGGGAGAGGCCCTCTGGATGCATGATGACTGGCTTATTTTCCATTCAGATGTTCTCTCCTAGACTATAGTTATCTTAAACAGGACAAATGAAACAGTATTGGAAGCTGTTGCCCAGGCAACCTGACAAAAGACTTCACCCTCAGCTACTGTATATGTAATTTGTCAAAGGCAGCTGGTTTCCAGGGAGAGGAAAGGGAAAGCCACAGTTGCTAGTTTGGGGCCTGAAAATTAAAATTTAAAGACTCCCTTCTTCTGGGGAAATCAACTCAGGTAGAACAGGAAAGCAGTTGTGATCTGTATAATAAAAATTCAGAAAAGCCCGGCTGGGAAGGTGAAGAGGGCACACACCTTTGACTTGTCTTTTGTGATGTCCGTCAAATAGGTGCGTTTCAGGGCTTTTAACACCAAGCTGCTCAGAGGCCTGGAGCTGAAAGTATGCCCCGAAGGGGAGGGAGGAGGACCAAGGGTGAGATATTGAAGAAAGCCACCAGGATATTCGAGGATATAGAGATAAATATGAAGCGGGGAGTTTTTGACACATCACATTCAACATCCCCCAAACCATAACCTCTCATGAGAGCAGCGCCTTGTAGGGAGACCAGCATTACAGAGCTTGGAGCAAGTTCAGTTGGTTCCCGTTATGGATGGAAAGACAGGTCCATAAAGGATAGCCCACTCAAGGTCAGCTGGCGGGGCGAGGGCAGAACTAAGCCAGAAGCCCCGTTTCCTGCTTCCCCGTGATCTTTCCACTTATCTGATGCCTCTGTCCTGTGGTTCTTTGAGAGGAGCACTAGCTGGACAGCTTTCAAAGTGTGCCCCATGGAGTCGGGGGCCAAGCTGTGAGGGCACGGGACACCCCCCGCCCTCAAAGGAATGGCTCCCTTTCCATCTATTTTTATATCCATTGGGGCCCCACTTAAAATTATTTCAGGGGGAAAAAAAAATCCATGACTAAAAAAACGTTTGAAGATCACCAGTCTAAAGATAAATTCGGTAGATCGTGGCGCTGGTTGCACAACTTTGTGAATATATTAAAAAACTACTGAATCATATGCTTTACTATGGTGAATTTTATCTTTAAAATTTATTTTGTTTGCTATATATTTATTTAAGTTAAAAAACCTGATAGCCCTTTATTCACGCAAAGAGGGACTCGAAGATAAGAGGTGAGTTATACTTAGGGTCAGAAACCAAATAAGAATGGATTATAGCAAGGCTGACCTAGACGGCCTCCATGTCCACCTCCACCCCTGTCCTCCCCAGCTCCCACTCCCCAGCCCCCAGGTGGCTCCTTACCGAGTTGGTGCCAAGGATCTGCAGGTTGGGCTTCTCCGACTCCAGCAGCTTGGCCACCATTTTGAGGAAACTCTCCACAAAGAGGTTGATGCTCTGGCAATGGCAGGCCATGAGCAATTGGTCCAGGGCCTCCATGGCAATGCACACGTACCTGGGGAAAGCAATACCATCACTGGGTCTCACGCCCGTTCCACCCTCATTGCATGACTGGGACAATCAGCATAGTGACCACCTGGCCAGCATCTGGGTGATGAGGCTCTTCCAACAGGCTGTTGATGTCTGGACAGCCATTCCAACTAGTGCCCACTCCAGCCCAGCACCAAGAATCAGCAGGAACCAGCCTGGAGACCAGCTCTCCCCAGCCACTCATTCTATAGATGAAGAACATGAGCACAGACGAGGTGTACCATCTCATGAGTGGATACAGGCAGAAAGGATTGATGCTCGGAAGAGCAAATTCTGAACCCAAACCCAGTGAGATCAAAGAATTACTCGATCTGAGGTCAAGTATTTGTTGAGCACCCACGGGGGAAATACTCTGTCTTAGTGCAGGGGTGTAAGGAGGAAGAAGGCCTTCAACTCAAGGAGCCTAGAGTTAGATGGACAAGATAAAAACACAGATATCTCCTGTAAAGGTGTCTGTAAAGGGATATCGTAAAGGGAAGATAAGAAACACTACAAGAGGGCGCCTGGGTGGCTCAGTTGGTTAAGCGACTGCCTTCGGCTCAGGTCATGATCCTGGAGTCCCGGGATCGAGTCCCACATCGGGCTCCCTGCTCAGCGGGGAGTCTGCTTCTCCCTCTGACCCTCTTCCCTCTCGTGCTCTCTCTCTCTCATTCTCTCTCTCTCAAATAAATAAATAAAATCTTTAAAAAAAAAAAAAAGAAACACTACAAGAACATCACGGAGGCCATCCTACAGAGTTCCAAAGAAGGAGAGAGATGGCTCTAGGGGGGAGGAAGAGAAGAACTTTAGGAAGAACGTTTATGAAGAATCTGAGATGGGCCTGAGGACCAGTCAACTGCAAAGGTTAAGGAATATAAAACCTGCAGGTATTGCATTTGAAGACCTCGGAAGTCCTAAGATCATCACACAACATGGTTGATGGTATTACCATATTTAAGTGACACATACCATACCTAGGAAGCATCTGTACCTCATGGAGGATAAGATAAACACGGAATAAAATTATTATTTTTTCCTAATGAAGATGATTCTGAGGCCCTAACTACTTATTCCTTCTAAAGCCTAAAACCTGAGTGAATACCTTCAGAAACCAGAAATATGCAGCACCCAATGATGAGCGTACTAGGTAGGTCAGCTCATCCCATTTCTTGACAACTAAATAAAAACTTCTTCATATTTCAAGCTAAACCCTAATAACTTTGTCCTTTATTCACAATTCTACTTTCGGGAGCAGTAAAAAACAGGGCTACACCTTCTACCTGCCTGTCCTTCAACCACTTGAAAAGAGCAATCCCATTTTTCTTGCTCTTCTCTTCTCCATGCTAAAAATACTCAATTCTTCCCAAACTAGCCTTCGCAGGACAACCCCTGATGATCCTGGCTGGTGGTTGTCTTCTTCAATGCCTCTCTTGAATCCCAAGAAAAAATGCCACGAATCAAATTCCTACTGAGAATTAGGAGTGCATGTCTGAGCCCAAACCCGACATGTGTTCCACGGTGGCCGCACAAGCGTGTGGTCAGATGAGGTATACCAAGAAGGGTACATGCCCCACTTACAAGGCACTTGCACACTAAAGAAAACAGAGTAGGGGCGCCTGGATGTCTCAGTCGGTTGAGCATCTGACTCTTGATTTCAGTTCAGCTCATGATCTCAGGGTTGTGAGATCAAGCCCTGCATTGGGCTCCGTGCTGTGCAGGCAGCCTGCTTAAGATTCTCTCTCTCCCTCTGCCTCTGCCCCTCCCCCCACTCTCTGTCTAAAGAAAAAGAAAGAAAGAAAAAGAAAACAGAGTAGACGTTCATTAGAAAAGGTTATCGCTTAACTTCTAATGAAGAAGCTGCTGCAAATCTGTCCAACATCATTCTAGTTGAAATCTTTGTAATTTTCTGTAGGGAGTTAGGTTTCTAAGGCAGAATGCTAGATGTCTCCCCTGGAATCTCTTTCCCTCCTTTTCCCTCGTAATTTGGAATTTTAGGGGGGCTTGTGGCTGCTCACGGGGATTAGTTCCCAGACCCTCTTGCTACTAGCTGAGGCCACGTGACTAAAATGTTGCCATTAAAATGAGGGAAAGTGAGGTGAACAATGTTGGCATCACTTGCTTAGAAGATAGCACTGGCCTCCGTGCCCTCTCTTCCCCTCTTCCTGAGGTTGAGGAGTGGTAACAACTGGAGTCCCAGGCATGGAAGTCCCTGGACGACCCTCACGGTGCAGAGCCCACATCGCCAGGCTGGAACAAAACCCCTTCCATACGGCTGGAGCCACGGTATTTTTACACAAATAATCCAGATACCTAATAATCAGGTTTAGGAGCGCTCTGGAAACCCAATGGTGCAAATAAAAGCGAATCCTGAGCAATCCAAAGCAAATCAGCGACCACCCTCATAGGAAGGTGAAGAAGAGCTGGAAGGGATTCTATCCTGTGAGGGGGAGAGCATCGCAAGACTCCACGGACTCGTGAGTGCGCTCCCATGCCCACTCCGGGGTGTCGATCCTTCTACTTGTTAAGCCAAACCATGTGGACTAGAAGAGTCCTTCTTGATACACAGAAATGCAGGACAGGTCAAGTGGGCAGAGGACTCCCAAACCTAACAGAGGTGCTGAGGAATCAGGTTAATGCCTCCAAGTCAAAAGCAAATAGCAAAAGACCTGTCTTAAAGATTATGGTAGAGCTGTCAGCGCAAGCTTTTAAAGCGTGAAAGCTGCCTGATGCTAGAAAGCCAGGTTCGTATGCCAGACATATAATGAAGAATGAATTAAAGGATTTGTTCTCCTTTATGTCTCCGTCCCAATCATACCCATCGATATTTGAAAAGCCTTTGATTAGCTAGTTGCTTTATCTTCTTTTTTAAAACAAAGTTTGGTTAAATGAAAAGAATTTGATAAAAGCTATGACTACAGGGTGATTTCTGGAGGTACCACGAGGCCACAAGACAAGGCTGCACAATGCCTCCTGGGGCAGCTGTTCGGTCTCAGGCATTGTGTGTCCAAACCGCCTCGCTCCTCAGCCAGCTTTGCAAATCCAAACCTATAAAGTAACAGCAGTCATGGCATCCCCTCAATGTTCTTTTTTTAAGACACCAGATACCATTTCTTAGGTACCCTCGAGCTAACTTTTACACTGAGCAATCATAGGAAAAACAGCCTCCCTGCTCTGAAATTTTCCTATCCATTTTTATTTTTATTTTTTTAAAGATTTTATTTATTTATTTGACAGAGAGAGAGCGAGAGCAGGAACACAAGCAGGGGGAGCGGGAGAGGGAAAGCAGGCTTCCTGCAGAGCAGGGAGCCTGATGCGGGGCTCGATCCCAGGACCCTGGGATCATGTCCTGAGCCGAAGGCAGACGCTTGATGACTGAGCCACCCAGGTGCCCTTTCCTATCCATTTTTTTTTTT